CCTCCACAGTCAATATAATAACAACAACAGTCAGTATATAATAAATTTTTATTGTAAAAGTAAATAACTTGATGAGTTTACTAAGACTTGTGTTTTATTTCTTGGACTGTAATGTACAAATCAGCATATTACAAAAGATGCTAGAAGTATCCTCCTCTTTTTTTGGAGAGACAGGTTTACATGGCAGCACATATTCTGTAACATGCAATGGAGTGTGTGGGGTACTATTTTTTCTGTACATTTGGTAATGTTCCTCTTCAGTGCCTCTAGATCAAGAGATTGTCTTTATACACTTTATTCTTCTTTGAGTGTTCTCAAAGAAAAATCTGGAGGTGCTAAATCAGATATATATCAATAAATTGATATATACAGTGTATTCCGCTTAATTGGGACACATTCGGACTAATCCATGCCCAATTAAACAAACTAATAATAATTTCTAAATATATTCGTAAAATTTAAACAATGGTATTGGTAATATTCTTAAAATTTGTAAATTCTAAAAATAAATAAGATTATTTCCAGATTAAAAACAAGTAAAATTATTCTTTCTTATCCAACTTAGAGTGATTCAGTTAAGCAAACAAATTATGAAGAAATACTGAACTTTAATAACTCCATTTTCAATGAGTTCACAAAATCCAAATGCATTTTGCTTACAGTAAAGCCTCATCAGTGGACATAATGAACTAACAACTGCTGTTATTTTTATGCTGGGTGATTTTTTTTCCCAGCATGCATCTACATTCATTCCGGTATCAGAGTTATCATATTTGCATATGCTACAATACAAAAATGTTCTATGATTCTTTTTTTAAAACAATTTTTTACTTTATATAATATTTTAACATTATTCCTGTCTATTTTACAATTAAATTTATTATAATGTAGACACCACAGCAATTCTTGTCTTTTTAACTTAATAGCAGCTTCATGTTCTTTTAACCATGTCTCTAACTTTCTTCCTGTTTCTCCTATGTAATGTTTTGGTCTGGACAAGTACACGAAAGCTTGTAAATGACACCTGCAACTCTGAGTTGGTTTTTTGATATATTTGGGTCTTCGTTATTTATAACATTAATTACATTCATCATCATATTTTTTTGTTTTGCACTATATACAGAAAATTTCTTAAAAACTGGTTTATATTTTTCAAATAAATTATTTATGTAAGGGAACTTAACATATAAATTATTCATTATTTGATTCTTAACTTTATATCTATGATTTATATAATATTTATACCACATACTGCATTCTTTGGGTAATCATTTAATAAATATTTTTTAAAGAGTTGTCTTGTTTCTATTTCTATATCTTCTTGTAGCATTGTTCTATTTAATATTTTATTTAATTCCATTATAAATACGTTCTTCTTTGTTTCTATTGGGCAATGTGAATTGTAATTAATAGTTATCTTTGTATTGCATAATTTTCCGTTTCTACGGAACAAAATTTGGGTATCTTCTCTTTTTATAATAACATCTAAAAAATTCATTTCTTGATTTTGTTCTTCCTCTCTTGTAAACTTTAAATTCTTATCCAACTTATTTAAAGGTAACAAAGAAAGCCCCACATCTGCACTGAATATCTGTGCTGATTTCGTAGAACTGCAACATTTTAGAAGTAAAAAACAGACTATACTTGATGCATTTTTGCAAAACTAAAATTGTAAAATTTATCATGAAAAGTAAGTGTTATTTTTTCTGCACAATTTATAGTATGAATATTTTCTGTATTTTGCTTTAATAAAGCCAATTATCATTTTATTTTTACTTATTTATTTACATATTATATATTTTTTTTTAGAAATTATTAAAATTTGTAAATTCTAAAAATAAATAAGATTATTTCCAGATTAAAAACAAGGAATCCGAACATTTACTAACAGATCCCTTAAAAGAAATACAAAATAGTCTTACTAAATTAATGAAGAAATACAAGAATGAATTTTCAAGCCAACAGGTAAAGAATATATTAGACTTTAATAATGTAAGAGAACCAAAATTAAATTTAAGACTCACAAACCAGGAAACACTTGTAGACCTTTAGTGGATTTTAAGAAATCTATTTTATATAATCTTGAATGTTATTTAAAAACTTACTTACAGAAAATTGATAAATCAGTTTCAAATCAGCATACAAAATACAGATGAATTGATCAATGGATTATTAAAAGATAAAATTAAGCAAAATTTTCGTATTATGAGTCTTGATGTTAAATCAATGTATCCATCTATTACTTTAGAAATGATTAAAGAAACTATAAAATGCCTGAGCACATATTAAATCTTATAGAATTTGTATTTAATTAGAGATTATTTTAAAATCTCTACAGATTATTATTGACAAAGGAAAGGAATTGCTAAGGGATTGGTTGACATTTATATGATACCAATAGATGAAAAGATATCACAGGTTCAAGGAATTCAATATTATGCACAATATGTAGATGATATACTGATTATATATGATTCACAAATAATTTCACCCCAAGACATTGAAGAATATGCAAATAAGTTGGATAAGAATTTAAAGTTTACAAGAGAGGAAGAACAAAATCAAGAAATGAATTTTTTAGATGTTATTATAAAAAGAGAAGATACCCAAATTTTGTTCCGTAGAAACGGAAAATTATGCAATACAAAGATAACTGTTAATTACAATTCACATTGCCCAATAGAAACAAAGAAGAACGTATTTATAATGGAATTAAATAAAATATTAAATAGAACAATGCTACAAGAAGATATAGAAATAGAAACAAGACAACTCTTTAAAAAATATTTATTAAATGATTACCCAAAGAATGCAGTATGTGGTATAAATATTATATAAATCATAGATATAAAGTTAAGAATCAAATAATGAATAATTTATATGTTAAGTTCCCTTACATAAATAATTTATTTGAAAAATATAAACCAGTTTTTAAGAAATTTTCTGTATATAGTGCAAAACAAAAAAATATGATGATGAATGTAATTAATGTTATAAATAACGAAGACCCAAATATATCAAAAAACCAACTCAGAGTTGCAGGTGTCATTTACAAGCTTTCGTGTACTTGTCCAGACCAAAACATTACATAGGAGAAACAGGAAGAAAGTTAGAGACATGGTTAAAAGAACATGAAGCTGCTATTAAGTTAAAAAGACAAGAATTGCTGTGGTGTCTACATTATAATAAATTTAATTGTAAAATAGACAGGAATAATGTTAAAATATTATATAAAGTAAAAAATTGTTTTAAAAAAAGAATCATAGAACATTTTTGTATTGTAGCATATGCAAATATGATAACTCTGATACCGGAATGAATGTAGATGCATGCTGGGAAAAAAAATCACCCAGCATAAAAATAACAGCAGTTGTTAGTTCATTATGTCCACTGATGAGGCTTTACTGTAAGCAAAATGCATTTGGATTTTGTGAACTCATTGAAAATGGAGTTATTAAAGTTCAGTATTTCTTCATAATTTGTTTGCTTAACTGAATCACTCTAAGTTGGATAAGAAAGAATAATTTTACTTGTTTTTAATCTGGAAATAATCTTATTTATTTTTAGAATTTACAAATTTTAAGAATATTACCAATACCATTGTTTAAATTTTACGAATATATTTAGAAATTATTATTAGTTTGTTTAATTGGGCATGGATTAGTCCGAATGTGTCCCAATTAAGCGGAATACACTGTATATATCAATTTATTGATATATATCTGATTTAGCACCTCCAGATTTTTCTTTGAGAACACTCAAAGAAGAATAAAGTGTATAAAGACAATCTCTTGATCTAGAGGCACTGAAGAGGAACATTACCAAATGTACAGAAAAAATAGTACCCCACACACTCCATTGCATGTTACAGAATATGTGCTGCCATGTAAACCTGTCTCTCCAAAAAAAGAGGAGGATACTTCTAGCATCTTTTGTAATATGCTGATTTGTACATTACAGTCCAAGAAATAAAACACAAGTCTTAGTAAACTCATCAAGTTATTTACTTTTACAATAAAAATTTATTATATACTGACTGTTGTTGTTATTATATTGACTGTGGAGGTTGAGTCTGGGAACTTAAAAATCATCCTGTATTAGATCATTACACAGGTTGCTACATTTACTCTTGTAAGGAACCAAGTCCGAGCATTATTTTATTTACTTTTATTTTTGCTTTTTATTATATTTTTGTTTGGGGCTTATGTTTTGTTAGGACGAAGGTTTCCTCCCCATTCACCTCAGAAACTTAAAAATAGAAGAGAAACCAACTCACCGACGAGAGAAAAGTGCCATAGATAAAACTCGTGCACACTTGTGCTCCCAAGCGGAAAAAAGTAAGTCCGCACTGAGAAAAGGGAGGAGACCCCACAAGCATAACTTAGGACCTTGCTAAACCTTAAAGAATAAAAGCATCCCAAAAATTGTCAAAAAGAATAATGTAAAAGGTTAGTGAGTATTGTTGGAAAATATGCTGCCAGACAAACAGAAAAAGTTTATTGTTAGCAAATACCTATTAAATGAGGGGAGCGATCTCACTCAGAATTGTGATGTCACCTCACAGTATAAAAGACGAACATCAAGTGAAGATGACCAAGATGAGCTTCTGTTAGCAACGAGCATGGTGAACTTTGTATCAGCAAACAAGAGATAGGATAAAGTAGTTTCAAGGCGATTTTGAAGTTATTCGATTTGTGGATCAAAGATTAGAGAAAGTCTTGAGAGTTGAGGAAAAAGGTTCCTAGTATATTGAGGTGATGATTAGGATCTTTAATTCATAAGAATTATTGTACATAAGTTAAGTCTTTGAATTTTTTGTTGAATTTCAAAGTGGAATAGAGTTAAGTTAGAAAATAGATTGATTTGAGTTTTGTCGGGTTAATTCTTATTGATTTATGTTGAATAAATTGTTATTTGATTTTTACTGAATTTTGTATATAGTTATTATTAGAAATTTTATTAAATATTGGATTGTTTTGACTAACTTTATCATTATTTAATTCGGTGCACGCTTAAAGTCCAGGCCTGGCACATTAACACGAATCCGCGTAAAGTACTCGTTAAGTAATGGCTATTTCTGGCACACAATTGTGTCAATAATCGTTGGAAAAGGTGGAAAAATAATATAGTACTTTACACTCTGTCATTAGAAATTCAATTCATAGTAATTTTTCTTAATACATCCTCTTCAAAATTTAAATTACTTCAGCAACACAAGTACTAGTAACAGCCATCGTAAAACAGATATACAAGATAAGACTGAAATGTTGTTATCTATTATTAGTATCCAAAAAAAAGAATGTTTGGCATTACTCTGCTTTCACCTAATGATTAAAAGTTCAGTTTGAAAATATTATCAAACTAATAAATATTTAAGAATTACTTACAACTATATCCGTTTTGTTTACTTCTCTGTGAAGATTTGTAACTAAAATATTATAACCATTTGTCGAATCAGAGTGATTTTGCAGCACTCTGGAAGTTGCAGGTGAATTACTCCATGATTGCTGTATTAGGAAAGAATTGACTTTTTAATATTTTGTTATATTTTAAAATGCTAATTTTATTTTTATACTTTTAATTTAATTAATTCATTTTGATTTTATACCGAGTCTGGCATGTTATGTGACATATAAAAAGTGTGCTATGATAGAAAAACTAATCCTTGAATGATCAGAGATACAATTGTACTTATACAATAAGACCCTGCCGTACACAGTTTCATGTTTACACTACTGGAAATAGAAAAGAAAAATAAACTGTAAAATAAAAATTCTTAATTGTGTGCTAAATCTATGCCATTTTTAAAGGTGTATGAAATTTTGAAGCATTTCACTCAGTCACATTCATTCGTTCTGGGAAAGTGTTACTGTTACTCATTTTTGTTTTGCACTAAACACAAACTTGCATCAGTCTTTGTTTGGAGTTCTGGAGAATGGGTAAGAAAGCTGAAAATAGGCCCAACTGTAGATCGTCAGTACAGTGTATTAGTTGCAGGTTTCATATTGTCAAACCAGACCAATACAGTTTGTTCAGAGAAAATCTAGTTTCATCTCCAAAATATTTGGAGAATTTTACAAGTTGAAACAAAATTATATAAAAGTGATTTTATTTTGTACAGAAAATTTTGCATGAAAATTGTAGGAATGTATAGGGCCTATGTTTCAAGTTTGCCTTCCACCATAATACACTCCTCCCAGTATGATAATTAGTGTCGATTGTATTCATGAAGTGAAGCCATGTATTTATGCTAACTATATACTGTATCACTATTCTACTGACTAATCAATCATTTAAGGATTAGTTTTCCCATAATGGCACACTTTGGATGTGTTGCACAACATACACTGGACCCAGTATAATACTTTTCATAATTTGTTGAAACAAATTATGAAAAGTAATTAGCTTTAATTACTAATGATAATTATTTACTGCTTGTTTGGAAAACAAAAACAAGTGAGAATAATGAATTGCACTACATTTTCTATAAATCAATTACAGCATTATATCAAATGGTTGCAAATTTAATTATCTCAGAAATAAAATGTTACAGAATTTAAAATTTTTGCTATGTTCGTTTTTTGTTTGAATGTGTATTTGTGCGTAAACACAATACTTCAATTAAAAATAACAACTTAGTATTAATATCTTAAAATCGATTATAATTTATAGCAAATTACCAAAGAATTAAAATTATCTTGAAAATTAGAGGTGATTGTCTTTAATTTGTTTGCTTCGGGTAAATCATCCAGAGTCATTTTTTCTAAATCATCGTCATCAGCATAGGAAATATCATTATCTGTCTATTAAAAAAAAATTAAAATATAATATAGCAAAACTACAACTTAAATTTTTAAGAATTATTTTAAAATATTTTTCTCATTTGTTAACATGGATTAAAGAAACTAAAATTAATATCTTAGAAGCAAAACATTTGAAAAAATTTTGTATCATAAAGTCATTATTTTATTTCATTCTATCTGTAGAAGTATTTTAATTATAACTTGATACCCTAATATTTTTTGAATTTCAATTAGATAGAATTATAAGGAAAAATATATCAAACTAACATACTGTTTCACTTTTATATATTCAAGAAAAGTGTTTATATAAATTATTATAATTGAATAATGCAATTTACTATATTATTTCTTAACTAGAGAAATTCCCCCATCAAACATACTTTCTATGAGAAAGTAGAATGTCTTGTGGTCAGTATGAAAATTTTTTTAAAAAAACTTTGTGAGAACCTGGAGTTAGGGAATGGTAATTTAAAAAGAAATGAATATTTAGAACAAAAATTTAAAGTAATATTTTAATTAATATTTGGGAACCTTTAGTAAAATAGAAAGAAAGATAAAAATTTATCAATTTAAGCATATTGCATAGACTTCCTCTAATTCAGCAGATGCTTAGTTCCTGCTAAATTTCCATTTACCAAGAATATGACTGCATCGGGAGTAAGTCCGATTGGATGTCCTATTGTCTATAAAAGGGGACTACCTTTTCACTCAAGGCTACATTTTTGGTCAACCGGAGTAAGCCATGCCGTGGTTCCCAATCCCAGGTTCCTAGAGAAGATAAAGGGTAATGCCAGGTAGTATATTTCTTATGTAAGCTCTCTCAGTAGGCAATCGACCAAGTGCTAGTTATCCTCGATATAGTCAAGTTATATCTTAGTTTAGTATACCCTGTTAATATATATATATTTGCCATGTATATCCACTGTGTATATATCTTCTATGCTTAAATATATATAAATAAATAGTTTAGTTTATAAAAGGAATTTGTCTGAGCCTCCATCAAGCAAATCGACATGACCTCTCCACCACTCAACAACACAATTACAACCCTCCGGACTTAATACTTCCCGATTCATCCGCTTGGAGTCAAGTTAAAGATTAATCCATTATCTAGCTCATGAGTTAAGACACGAATCTTATCTTAAATGGTGTCAGGAATCCTGATAAGATGAAAGATCTTATGTCTTTCAGTATTCTTATAATATAACATTAAAGCAATCTTAAACAGTGGGCGGAGTGTCACCGACACCGATCTCACAACTTTGTTATAGAAAATAATTAACACAACAGTGTTGCAGTATTACAATTACAATTTATTAGCAAAATTAAGAAGTACTCACTAGTACTTCTTAATTTAGATAAGAGATGGTGCCTAACATCTACTTCTAATACAAATTACTTAATATCTAATTATTTATAACAGCAAAATAATAACTTGATCAATTACAGCAATCGTCTGGTTTAGTATCAATGCATCAGGCTTCAGAAGTTTATTATATTTATGTAATCAGTGTTTATCTCAATAACAAGTCTAAATCTGTCAACATATTGACTCTGGATTAGGAGGTTCCTTCCTATTAGATCACAACATAGTATTGGGAAGTTATCTTTGACGACAACTTCCCAATACTATGCAAAAAAATGCAAAAAAATTAAAGTTAGCAACTTTTACAGATTTGAGTCTAGAAAATTTTGAAATGCCTACATATAAACTTATTTTAAATTAAAAAATTTCTAATTAAGCTTGATAGCTAGAACTACATTTTTTTTCCACGTTCCTGGAAGAACTTCTTATAACTCAGGTGGTGTGCATACCTCAAGTTAGGAAATGTTGCTATATTTCTTGACTATATACACGTATTTATAAAATTTTGTAAAAAATTGACTTTTCAATGAAATGCATTGCCAATTCTTAAAATTCTTCAAAAGTATTAGCAATTAAAATGATGCACTTCATCTGCCCATATAAACCCAACTAAAAACAAATTCTGAATTGTTAATTACTAAGTTACTATTTGTCTTCAAAATTCTAATTCATTCCCATAAAATTAATAATTTTTAGTTCTGAAATATCTGCAACATTTTTAAGATTTCAAATTCAAATTTCTTACTACATATCTAAAGAAATTTCTTATTCTTAAAAGTGAAACTTCTTACCTTATGTAAAAAGTTTCATTTTTAAAAATAAATTAAACAAAATATAAAATAACTTCAAAATATAACAATAACAAATATTTAACCTGCGATATATGACTCACTGAAGAGACTTTCGATGTTGGCATAGAATTACGTTTCATAACAGTAATTCCATTTCTGTCGAGGAATACAAATTTTTCTGCACTCGTTACCTATATAAATAATAATTAAGAAAATTTATCTACTTTATTTATTTCATAATCTATTTGAAGAATTAGTTTATTTAATTTAGCATACCAGATTAAGTAATCAAAAAAACCATCAGATTTCTTCCAGACTATTTATAGACTAGAAATTAATTAATATTAACCCACAATTATTTGACCTACAGTTAGAGCAAGAAGTTTAATAAATTAGAATTCTTAGCTAATTTTAAAAATGTCTAGAAAGAAAGATCGACATTGACCTGCAGTGGAATTAACTTTGGTAATATATGTTCTTGAATGAGGCCAATCAATATCTAAATCAATTGTAGAAAATAATATCCCAAATACAATAGTAGAGATAAGACTTATCACACTGTACTGGTAACATTAAAATGACACTTCTACCATCAGAATACAACTTTATTACCAGTGTGTGTTTTGGTACACAATATCCTCATCAGCTATACATAAAAATATATAGTTATTTACATCAAAATATATTATGTTTACAATTAAAATAATATAAAAAGTGTAAGATTTCATTACAAAATAAAATTTCTCAAAACTAATCTGTTGTAGAAACAAATTTGCAGAGAAACTGATAACAATTACAATTTAAAACATACCTAAAATAATTTTAAAGAACAGTTTTAAAAAATTTATTAATTTAAATTGTATACATATAATACCGGTTTACAAACTGACCTATTCGAGATTTATTTCCACCCACACTGCAGAGTACTATGAGGATTACATTATGAACAGGCCTACATTAATACAATTTAAGTCCCATTACAAACATTTTTAATTATATAATAACATCTCCAAAACAGTAAGCCTGGAATATATTAACATAAAAAACAGTACACATCCAAACATTAAAAGAAATTCCAGGATATTTTTATGCAAACATGAATATTTTCAATCTGCACAGATCTTCTTCAAGTTAAAATATTTTCAAATGGAATGCGGAAATGGAACATTCTTAGGATCATTCAAAAAAACATATACACAAGAATATTTTAAATTTTAAAAATAATTTTTAAATCAACTGTTCTTGTTGGTATAAAGATTGCCAATGAGACAGTTTTGGCAAAATATGCAAATACTATTTTAAGTGAAGAAATAGAAGATAGATATTCTGTGATTTTAGATTTGATTAGATCATCAGTGCAGCGGTGCAGAATGATAACATATCTGGGTATGATAAATTTCTCGTCTTCAGCTTGGTTTGACAGAGATTGTACATTAGTGAAGAAACTAAAGAATAGAGCACTGAGAAAATTTTGGATGTCTCACAATTACCAGGATTTAATAAAATATTGTCATCTAAGGACAATTTACTGTCCATTATGCAAGACAAAAAAAAAAAAAATTACTGGACTATTAGCAGCAAACAGTTGCAGTCTACCCAATCTTCTAAACAGTTTTGGGCTATATTAATAGATTTAACAGGTGAAAGAAACCCGATTATCAAATTCCTCTTCATGATTGGCAATGTTTTCTAGAAAACAACTTCTGCCATCCAAGGTCTAATTCAATTCTTGATTTTGGCTGTGATAATTTTTCTCCAATTTTGGATGATCCAATTTCACACTCTGAGCTAAAAACTTCAATTCATAAACAAAAAAAAAAAAAATTGGCCCTGGCATGGATGGCATAAAAAGTGAATTTATCATATATTTGCCCAAAGAAATCCACTTAGAACTACTTAACTTCTTTAATAAGATCAAGGAGACATCCAGATTTCCAGATCATTGGAAAAATGTGTTATTGCAAATGATTTATAAGAAGGGAGATATAGTGCTACTAAATACCTTTAGGAAATTGTTCACCGGAATTTTGGCAGATCGGCTGATCCAATGGATAAATGAATTCAATGTTATTTCCAAAGTTCAGGGTGTTTTGTTGGAGGGAGAGGTACTATGTACAATGTCTTTATACTTAACGGTTTAATACAGTATGTCCTGTCAAGAAAAAGACATAAAATCTATTTGATATTTGTGGATTTGGAAAAGGCTTTCGATAGAATCAATTTAACCATTTTATAGGAAAATTTACATTTACTAGGAGTTTCAACTTCATTTATTAAGCTGGTTAAAAATTTATTTTGTAATACAGTCGACCCCCGTATAAGATCATTGATTATTCCGTTTTATATGAATTCCATGTTGTACGAGTCACTTAGATTTTACAAATACGTGTACCGGGCTGTGAACGGCTCACGTATTTGTAAAATTTAAGTGACTTGTACAACATGGAATTCATATAAAACGGAATAATCAATGATCTTATACGGGGGTCGACTGTACAAGGTATCGTGTGAGAGGCAACCTGGCAAATACTCAGGGTATCATTTCTGGGGGTGGTCTCCCTCAGGGGAGACCTTTAAGTCCCATTGTTTATATTGTTTGTTAATGCGTTGCTGCAGTTGTTTTTTACCTCTGAATCTTCAAGATTTGCTCTTGGAGAATCTGTTGATTTACACCACTTAATGTATGCTGATGACATAGTCTTACTGGCAGATTCTAAAATGGGCTTGCAACAAAAACTTTCCCTGCTAGTTACTTATGCTAAAAGAAATGAACTTACAGTCAATTTACAAAAAACGAAGAGAATGGTCTTCTGTAACGGAGGCAGTCTACTTAAATCTGACAAGATATTTGTGAATAATGTTGAAATTGGTTTTGTGTCGCATTTTAAGTATCTAGGAATATACTTTCCTTCATCAGGTGCTGATCATCAACTGTGAGATCCATGGAGTCACATATTTTTTCTAGCTGAAGGCCACAGAACAGCTGAAATCTATTGCAGAGTAAATACACTTTACAGACCCACATCTATGAGTGACAGTTAAGTTGGCAGGCACATTCACTGCAAAGCAACCATTCTCCACGAAAATGTAATGACAACAGTGTTTTAGGACGGGAAAAAAGTGCTAGTGATGAAGTTTGTGGAACCCAAAACTACAATAATGCTACATAAGCTCTGTGAAACTTTAAAAAACTGTATGAAGCCATTCAAAACAAATAAAGAGGAATGTTGATGTCGGGTGCTGTTTCTGCATGACAATGCATGTCCACACATAGCTGCCTGCACAAAAGATTTCTGCAGCATTTTGTTGAAACATGCTTTCCACACCTATCATATAATCCAGACCTTGTTCCCAGCAATTTTCACCTTTTCCCATAGATGAAGATTGGCTGGAAGCATCACATTTCCACGTGAATGAGCAGATAATGTATGGTGTAAATATGGCTCAGCTTCTAAGCAGTAACTTTCTTTGTTGAGGAGATACAGAAATTAATCTCACACTATTACAAGTGTCTGAATTTACAGGGTGATTAAGTACTAGCAGTGATATGTAGATAACTTTTGTACATAAAACTGTTTTCTTTCTTTCTTAGTTTTTCTAATGGCTCATCAGAAGTTGATTTTTGAATAGCCCTCATATTTAACTTGAATAACTCAGATAACATGTAAAACTCACAGAAACTGTGGGTTAAATCCTACTCCAAAGTAGAATACTCTCTGAGCATTCTAATTTTTTAAAACTTCCATAATCATTTTTCTAACAAACATTTTTTAGTTAATAACTATTATATATGATAATAAAACTAAAAAGAATTAATTACTTTGACATTTTAGTATATTTAAACAAAGAATTCATTATCCAATACAAACCTCACTATTACTAGTACTAGTACTAGTACAAGTACTAACTGGTTTCTGTTCAGAAGTCACTGTTATCATTCCTTTTTTTATCAGCACTTGTTTTCCTGGTGACTAAAAAATAAATAAATAAATTATTATTTTACAATAATACTAGCAAGGAATTAATAACTATATAATAGTATTATTTTATATTATCTCTATATCACAGCACAGTTGCATTTGGAAAAAAATCTATATGATGTATATTATACACTAGCTGCCAGGACCCGCTTCGCTGGGTTTTTATTTGTATGTAATATAGTTTTTTTTATATACAGGTATACCTCGACTTACGTCATTTCGAGTTACATCGTTCCCGATTATACGTCGTTTGTCAAAAAAGTATATGGAAAAATAGAAATCAAATTTATGTCATTTTATTCGACTTTACATCTGTCCGCCACAAATATTGAAGTCGTAATATCAGTAGAAAAATGTTTAAAACACGTAAAATCATATTATAATATATACATTTACAAGTATATACTGTATTTACAGTATATGCATTCGTAAATTTAAATTACTTTTTTCTGTACTACAGTGGTACCTCAGGTTACGAACGCCCCAGCATACGAAATTTTCAGGATACGACATGAAATTCGAACATATTTTTGCTCCACGATACGAACAAAAACTCACCATACGACGTTACATTAGTTCGCATTTTTCATTTGTTTTTCTTACTACAGTTATTTTTTTAAATGTATTACTTGGCTTTAATTTGAGTATGTTTTTCGCGTTGGAACGAATTATTTGGTTTTACATGTAATCGTATGGGAAAAGATGATCCACCTTACGACATTTTCATGATACGATCTCAGTTTCGGAACGAATTAATTTCGTATCCTGAGGTACCACTGTATATTAAAAACTAAAATTTATTTGTTTGTAAGCTTAAAATAGATCCTTATTAACCATATATTATTAAAAATGCATTAATAAATAAAATACAGAACGGGAATTGGTAATTTATGGTTTAGCCTAGTGGCAAGTAGATTCGGAGACAAGTAAATTTGACTTAAGTCGTTCTCCTGGAACCAATTACCGATGTAAGGCGAGGTATACCTGTATAAAAGACTGTAATCTAGAATGTAGCTGCAAGGACCTGCTTCACTGGGTTTTTATTTGTGGGCAAAAAGTAACAATAGTGAAGATTAACATAATTACATTATAGCCAATCTTACCCGTTTTCACAGAATGCAAGAATTAGGTCCCCCGTTTCCAGACTAATTAGAGAATTTTTACATGAGTCTAAAAATATGTTCGATTTCCCGCAAAAACCGCCTGTAAATATTGCATGCCGCTTTATATTAACACTTCCTTTGTTACTCAACACTTCCATTGTTACACATCTTCGAAGTCAACCACTTTCAACCCCATATCTCCCGCACCCTTATAGCTATTGAGATGCAACCACCATAGTGCACAAATGGAGACTTGGGGCTACTACCACATACAAACACCATTCATGTGCGATGTGTAGTTTTGGCTAAAAAGTGAAATATAGGGGCACACATGTCCATTTATATATATATATGTAGATAGAATATAGATTATATACTAGATGACATCTCTTGAGATGTCACTTTGGGCACACGTGCCATTGGTTCATTGCCCCTGCCATAGGCCAATGATGGCAAACCTTTTTCTACAGGTGGGACAAAACTGAATTCAAAATTTATTAACTCCAAATAGCAGGTGAAATATTTAATTTCAGTAATTATAAAAAAACAAAAAACACTTATAATCACTTTAATTTAATAAATTTTAACAGAAACAAATATTTTGTTTAATGGGAAATTTGTTGATTATTTGATAATGATTTTTCTACCTGAGGCTTATAATTAGTAATCTTTAGGACTTTTCACAACAGCTTTAGAACCCGACTTTCACACTGCATATGCAAAGTTTTGAAATCTATCAAATATTTTTTATAATTTATAAAATCCTAATACTAATTAAAATTAGCTTCTTACTGAATTACTGGAATAAATCACAAACAATCAAGAACCTTTACAATACAGTAACAAAATTCTAATAAAAACATCTAATGAAAGTATTTGACCTTGACCAAGGTCTGCTTCAGGTTTTTAAACCAACAAAATTCAAATTGGAATGTGTAGAACAAAACATAATGTATATAAAAATTAAACAGTGGAAAATATAAAATCTTAAATATATAATGCTACCCATATACAAAAATTTTAGGAGATAACTTAATAGCAAGTAAAAATTAATTTATGTCAGCATTGGCAGGTTTTTCATAAAAGTATTGCCATGCATACGATACAGTATTACCATCTTTAAAGTTAATACATTTGCTGGTCAGGCTGACCTTGTATATTTCTAAGGCTTCTAGGGTCCTAATATGATCTGTTTCAAAGGACTGCCTAATTAACCTGGCATTTTGGAGGTCAGCATGCACATTGGGATTGTTGGCATAAGTGGACGGGGAGGTGGTATGCCTTTTGTTTACAATGTCGTACCAATGTTCTTGCACCCTTTATTGAACTGAGTATTTAGTGGAACCAATGTAAACCAAAATCCCTTTGGAACCTGTTATCCCTCACTGAAACACTGTTTATTCATTCCTGGGGCTCTACATTCTTTGGTCTTGTCCTTGCTGTTGCATAACTTATTATTTAACTTATAATGTAAAAAATAATATTTCAAAAATATTTTTGTTCTACGTATTCCAATTTGGAATTTTGTTGGTTTAAAAACTTGAAGCAGACCTTGGTCAAGATCAAAATTGATCATTAAATGTTTTTATTAAAATTTTGTTACTGGATTGTAATGGTTCTTGTTTAATTTTAATCTTAATACTTTCTAAACATTCAATGCTGGTACTTTGAAATCGTCACACGGGTCACTATGTGATCCATGAATCACAGGTTTACCATCACCAGCCTAGAGCACTACCTAGATAGTGTCTGTTATTGTATGCCATATATAAAAGTGCCATCTTTTTTAAATCAACAGTTGAAATTTCATCCGGTTCTAAATCCTGTACATTTTTGCAAAGTTCAGTGGGTACACTCCTAGCTTCCACTGTTATTGGTATATTTTACATTTTTGCCAAAGTCAAAAAGTTATTATTATTATTGTTTTATTGTAATATATTTTTAAACAAATATACAAATATCAGTATGATGGATTTGTCTTCTCTTTACATAATTAAAAATAAAAATGGCATACATACTAGCTAGTTATATATATATATATGTATGTATAAACAAAATTTTTGTTTGATCACCCAGGATACTTGTGAGGAAAAGTATACACAAAAGTTTACTTGTGAATAATACACTTGGTGATGAAATGAACCAGTTATGCTTGTTACTGCCTGTTATACATTTTGAGAAACACTTAAATCACGAACATTTATTTACTACAGACTCAAGGAATAACCATTGAAACTTCTCACTGGCATTGCCAAGTTTCCTTCTCACAAGTAAACTTTTCATATAATACCATGTACAATACAACATGTATTGTATTAGATATAAATGATTAGTATATAAAGAAGTAAGTCTCATAAAAAGTAATCCATGCTAATATCTTCGAAAGAATTATCAGATTTATGTAAATGTTACTTCCTTTCAGACATTATCAAGTATGACCATTCATCAGTGCATAAGTAAATTTCTCCTACCCCAAAAAAAGAAAGGATAAAATTATTTCAGTTTCTTGTGCAGATAGAACTACAGTACCAATTGGAGAGCAGGTTGAAATCAGTACATGCCACATTTGTTCAATAAAAAAAAATGAAAGGATAAAGATTATTGAAAATTTAATTAAATTTGGCTTCTCTGTAGTGCTCAGCTGCTTTGTAAGTGTTTGCTTCTCAAGCTTTCAGTAGTTTGTGATAAACACTATAACTGGAACTTGTTACCAGTGTTCCTTGTGAAAAAAACAGTCTATCACAAACATTTTTGAAGTTTTGAATAGTTCTTCCCCAGGTAAAATCCGATGAAATGCTTCAAAATAGAATGTAAATATTTGAAAAATTAAATCAAATGTCCATATGATTAAATCTGTTACACTGGGCATGCGTGTTCGTGTGTGGGTGGTGGTAATTAAAGTTTGTCATATATGAGGGCCTGCCAGGCTACCGACAGATTAAGCTCCTCTTTCTGGTTGATACAGGAGGTCATGTGGCTATTTTTGTAAATGGATATGGCTTCTAGCCATTTTAGATGTTCCAGGTGAAGTGTAGTGATGATGACTTCGGCTTTGTCGAATTCCACTTCGATGTCAGGATCAGATGCATAAGTGGCCAGGACAGTGGTGCGTCGCCATGCTGGAGGTCTGCTCGGTGCTCTCATATTCTGGTATTTAAGGAGCACTTGGTAGAACCAATATATATATATATAAGGCCCTTGTCCCATCTGCTGTCCTTAAGTAGGATGGAGTAAACACCAGGAAGTCTGTTACGATTCGAAGTGTCTTTACCGTTTCTGAGGATGTCAAAGATCGTCAGACATCTCCTATATGCTATCCACATTTGTTGTTTTTTGTTGATCTCAGTGTACACTGTTTTAATATATGGGTTAAATGTGATCAGGACACGTGTTTGATCACCTGAGTCAGTGCTGGTCCTAGCATGCATGGTGGCTGTGCATTGTGAGTGGTAATGTTGGTTAATCAAACAGTGAGACAGAGTAGAGTACCCATGCATGGTTGCTATTTTTTTAACGTGAGCTAACTCATTAAAAAAATAAATAACTAAAAAAAATAGCAACTATGCACAGGTACCTTACTCTGTCACACCATTTGATTAACTCGTTACACTCTGAAAATTTCTTCTTTCTACATACCTAGAGATGAAATTGTTTTTACCCCTCAGGCTACAAAGTAAACTTGTATAGCAAAACCAGTCAAACAATTTTCTCTTTGGACAACTTTATCTTGAATAATTAAGGTAATTTTGGCAAATCCTGTGTTTAAAGAGTTAAGTTGCCTGCACATAACAACTATAAAAAATTTTAGACAAGCCATTAACAGAACTAATCAGGATAATTTCTTTAAAACTGCATTGATTTCAACCAACAATGTTTTTCACAAAAATAAAAACAGCAAATAATAACAATAAAAATGCTGTATCAGCCAAAAATGTTTTTGAAAACATTTTGTGATGTATTTTAAAGTTTTCTTCAATAAAATATTGTACTTAGAAATTATTTCATTAGTTTTATTTTACTAAATGTAATATAATCAATCAATCATATTGGAGAAATTACTAGTATACATAATATTACTATCTAATATCATAGTCCCAATATTAATGAATTATTTTAATTTTGGTCACCAAATTTCATTAATTAAAAAAACTAAAAAAAAATATGCCTTCATTTCTTGGCAATTTAATGATTTGTAAAATTAAATTATTTTGAAAAAATTTACTATTTTCTAAATTACAATAATATATGTATAGTCATTTGGTCATTAAAGAAAATTAGTAAAAATCAAAACTAATTTTTCTTCAATAGCCAAATGATTGTACATGCTAATATTATTTCAATTCAGATAATACAATTCTGTTCAAATTAAATTAATTTAAACATTTCCAAAAATATAAGACATTTAAAGGAAAGATTCTAGGAAAGATATTTAGAATGCAAATAGCATAATTGACAACACAATCAAAAATATTGCAGAGCATAATCATCATAATTATGCAATGCGTTATTTAAAATCTTACTCCCCTCATTTCTTTGTTATGATTTTGGATCTACTTTGTGTTTCTCCTTTGAATAATTCTCATTTTTCTATATTTTAAATGAGGAATCTGAGGACAATTCCCTCTACCACTGATGACAAACAACAAATTAAACTTTCTCGATTTTTGGCATTCAATTAAGAATAGGTTAATTACAATGTGAAGTGGACTTGGAATGCTTTGTTATAATTTTATAAAAATTAAATATTCATGGTCAATTAAATTCATTAATAAATAGCAAAAGTGTTATCTGTAAATGCAAATTCCAGAAATCATTAATGAATTAGTAAATAATTAAAGATCAGTTTGAAAACCAGAAATATGGAAATTCATTCAATTTTTCTTATACTTTTAAACTGAAGGAAAATTATTTTGCTAAAAATTTAGAAAACTATAAATTACATAACAGATTTGAAAAAAAAATAGCAAGGAAAAACAAAAATAATTTATGTTTCAGACATTAAAATATTTTTAAAAAGTTAATTTTATAAAATTAACTTGTTAAAAATGTATTTATCAGACACGAAAACATTTTATTTCATATTTGAAAACGAAAAAGTCTTTATGTTTGTTAAACTTTCAATAAACTTTAACTTTATAATCACAAAATATATTAAAACTTACTACTATTCTTTCAAAATTAATTGGTTTGAATTGTTTCCTATTAAAATTTGTTTTAGTATTAATAGAATAAAAATTTTTCATTTGTTGTTTACTTCTTTTTAATTTCAAAATTTGTCTTGCATCTTTCATTCTTTCTGTATTAGGTTTATTTAAAATACTTCTGTTGCCAATATTTTTATATTTATTCCTTTTGTTTATTGGCCTCATTCTTTATCTGTAATAAAAAAAAATAAATGAAATTATTCATATTTTTTTATATAAATAAATAATCTAAATAAGAAGAAAATTAAACTAAATTTTTTCTCGTTTGAAAAACATCAAAAAGCTTTAATAAATACATACATCATGAAACCCAATAAATTTGTAACGCTAAACCACCAGATTACTTCGGGCTAATTTTCTACAATTATATTTAATTAATTACTAAGTTGTCACTAGAAGGAGGTGTTATTCACCATCTCTTATTAAATTTAAGAGATGGTGCCATATTAATTAAATTCTCTCTAGTTACAAATTATTTAGTAATTAATTAAATATAATCATGGAAAAGTAGCCAGATGTAATCTGGTAGTTGTTTGGCTTTATAAACTTTAATAAATTTTTATTTAGCCTAAAATGGCATTAATAATTTGTCTATTAGAAATATAGTTGTAAACTAAAATATAATTTAAATTATTATTTTTATTAAGAGTTTAAAGACACCTTTTACAATACATTTCACTTAGGCTGTATTCATACTGCCAACAACAATGAGAAAAACCAATATTTTTATCATTTGTCTTTGTCCGTAGCACTTTCATCTTAGTTGTTCATTGTTCAAAAGTTAGCCAAGATTCAACATTTGTTGTTGTTATAATGGTATTGGCCAATCAACATGAATTTCCCACAATCCTCTTTGAACAAGATGGATGAACAGCTAATGTTGTGTGTTAAATAGAGCCAAGGTGTTTCACCTTGGCTCTATGACATGTCCTGATATACTGAAGAATTGACATTTTACTCTGCATATCCATTTTTAAACAGAGACAATGCCAGTCTAAAAGTTCAGAAATCCATGGAGTAATGCTAAGCCTAATGTAAACTGCACACATTATAATATGAAAACTAATGAACGATGTGAATGCCTTGGCAATGAACAAATATAACAAAAGACATGCCATCATATTATTATTTAAGATCCATGGTTATTGCTATTGGCAGTGTGAATGCAGCCTTACTGTAATAAGTGTTCTTAAGCTATAATATGTGGATATTATGATGCACAGAAACAAGAATGAGTCTTAGTATGTGAAAGACCAAATCATATGAATTCAACAGCATCTAAAGCATAGCATACATCATTCATATATATTCTCTTTAAATACTTCAGAGTCCCATTTTGTAACAGAGTTTCTGCCCAAGATCCACAAAACAAGATTTTTTTTTGTTATTTACTTTTTAACTTCCTACCCTGTGGACACTAATAACATTATTTTTGCAGGTCCATCAAGGGTTTGACCAGACCCATAATGGGGGCAGCAAGGTAATAAAGGTCCAATATATTCAAAGCAAGTCACTTATGAAATCATTCCAGAGATTACTACTCTAGACTTCAACTCAGGTTCACAGAGCAGCAGTTTAACATGTTTTATCAACTCAGCCATTAACAAATATTACTATTGCTTCTAAGTAACCCATTTTGCATTTACTGAATTATACTAGCAGCAAAATAAATATTTTTTCAGGGTGGTCAGCTATCATGCACTAGGCATTTTTCTCCAAAGGCATACAATGCAAAGAAACAAAACCATGTCACTTGTCATATATCAACAATGTACTTTTGGTATTTTTCTGTCTGTGCCCAATACAGTATGCTTACCAGCACTGCCAACTTTTCTGTTGCGAATAGCAGTCTAGGGTTGAATAGAGTAATTGTAAATGACATTGATTTCCCATTATTTACAATTTTCTGCAAATTAAGAAAGCACAGCTAGTTATTACTTTCTTAGTGGCTCTATTATACTAATACTAATCACATATACTGTACCATGGGTGGGCAAGCAAGAGTTCAGTGGGAGCCAAAATGTAGGTTTTGCAAAATGAATGGGAGCCGCAGTTCTGTACTTTTTTATTCTGTACTGTGATTTTATTATATAATATAAATATCATATAAAACAAATATTAAATTTTTTTAATAAACATAATTTCACAAAATTGTGGAAATAAAATTGTAAAAATAATAATAAAAAGCAGAAATTAACACTTTCAGCAAGAGTCGCATTTGCCCATGTCTGACATATACTATATATATCTGCAATTATCTTTACTAGGCTGTAGTAAAGATAACAAAAAGAAATGTTCAAAAAATTCCATATTTACATTTACTCCACTGAGATAGAGTAAATGTAAATACTGTGTGTAATTGTAAATCCTCCATTTTTTGGGCTTAGGATATACTGTACATATCTATATGGAAGAAAAAAACTGTAAATGAACATAAATCTTTGAAATGCAAAATGAACAAAATTATGCAATTTTATTTCACTAAACATATGAAAAGCAAACAAGAAACCTATATAGTAAAACTCCAATTATACAAATTGGGACTTCATCTTGTTTGGATATGCAGAATATCTATAATAGATAATTGCATTTTAAATCAACAAAAATAATAATTGAACTTAGCACCATATCAAAAAGATGAGAAAAAATGCTTCATTCTGGAAACCAAATTAACTTTTATTCAGTAACATTTTCATTCTTTTATAAGATCATCAACTGTGAAAATTATCAAATGCAGTAGAACAAATACATTTGAAAGAGAAAACATCTCTATGTTTGAACTTTTTCAAATTTAAAATTACAAATTCCTTGATGGACATTCCTAAGAATCATCAAATACAATAGGGATTAAACATATGTTTTAATTTGGTTTGTTGAGATAAAGCACTCAATACAAAATGTCTCCTCAATCTGCATAGCATACATCTTGACAATATGCATCCCATAGTGGTGAATAGCATAGCTAGCTTTACAAAGGTAATACTAAAACCACTTAGAGTAATTTTCTTTCAATTGTTGTCTCCCAAATTACAGTACCTTGCATTATTAAGATGTAATAATATTCTTTAATAATAAGATTTTTTCCTGAATAACCCTGTGCATATATTCATTTTTTTGTTGGGCTGCAATTTTAAAAAACTATAAATTCCCACAGGTGTCAGTTCATCTATCTGTCTCTCATTCCTTAATCTCAAGAACAGAGTTGGATAGATAAAAGTCAAGACCAGATATGGAAAGCTTAGGAGCAGGAGGCCCAATTAATTATATATGAACTTTTGGCTTGGACTGGAAGTCACATTATTTCAATTAAAAAATTTTCCCCTGAATGGAGTTAGATGACTGGCATGATGCCATTGTTAATAGGAAGAGGGGCAAGCCACTATTAAAATTGAGAGTATTGTAATAAAAAATTGCAGCACAGTTTTGTGATTATGTCACAATAAATAATTGTTCATTTAACAATAAAAACTAAAACATAAATTTACTAAAAATATTCATATTTAAGAAACAAATATAAATTTTGGAGATTTTACAAGTTTCTTCTTTTCATATCATACAACAGAATCAACCTTCTTTTTAGGCTCTGTCTTGTCTAAAGATGTTAAAATTTCTAAAAAAGTCATGCTGGCATTTATGTAGCTGTTAAAATTCTATATAATGTACAATAAAAACCAGGATAGAAATTTACTAAAAAGTAATTGTAATTAGAAGCTAAACACAAGCAAAATCTCACAATTAATCCTTTTCACAAGATTTCACTTATTTTCTTCCAAAAAAATTTATTCTTAGAAGAAAGTCTGTAAACAATTTTAATATATTTCAGTTTCTAAAAAATTAAAAAGCTTTTGTATTTTTAAGATTTCTTTCTATTCAAAATAAAGTTTTTCTTTTTATTAAACAGGAAAGTAATAACTTCAGTAATCATACAATATAATATGAGCAAATATTTATTCTGACATCGTCATAATGCCAGACTGCAATTTTTAATCATATTTTTAACTTATTTAATTTAAAATATATGCCTTTCTATCTCAAATTAGTACTGTAGTGTCTTGCTCTTGTACTGTACATCATACTTTTCCATTAGCAATGTAGTTGTGCCAGTCATCTATTAACTGCTTTCAGAAAGTTTTGAATTGAAATAACATGACTTCTGGTTTGCATCAGAAGTTCTTATATAGTTAATCAGGGTCTCCTGCCCCTAAGGTTTCCATACCTGGTCTCGAATGGATTTCATATAGCTAACTCCATTCTCGAGATTAAGGAAAAACAGATAGACAATAGTGAAAATTTATTGGGCTGCAATTTTTTCAAATTGCAGCCCAATAAACTGATACTACTATTTATAAAATGATAATTGGATAAAACTGAATATAAGTAATTACTATAATCTAAAAATGTTTTAAAATTTAATCATTCTACAATTTTTAAAATGTTGCTATTTTACTCACAATGACTTTTTTAAATTGGATATTTTATGAGGGAGATCAACTGCTTCCTAAGGTTATCATCAAACTTATTATCAAACACATTTTTGGCTCTTGAGCTTTCATTATTTCAGTAAATTCTTACAAGAAATGTCTTGAATATTTTAAATAATAATTCTTGTCTATTTGTTTTTATCTTTGTCATTTCTTACAAAAATATTTCAAAATTAAAAAAAAAAATCTATTAATTCGATGATAAAAAAGTGATTGTTTTTAAACAGATGCTTAGCTGCTATTGTTGCATCAGTATTCAATCTCTTAAAAGTTAGATCATTTGGAAACACATCCCTAACACTACATTTACATGATAAAAGTTAACCCCAATGAAGCCTTTGAAACCAATAAACTTTTTTCCTTTCAACAGAACAGAGTTAACTAATTCTGATCAATATTCTAACTCTATCATGTTAACCTGTATCAAGTTGCATTCTACATTAATATTGTCTTGATCTCTTACTCTTGTTATTTCCAATTAATGCAATCAGGATAAATCTCTTCTTGGTTAATTTAATTATTGTTTAAATGTAGTGAGAATAGGTGGTAAACCTCAAGGCTAAATATGCTTATGAGGCTGATAAAAAAACAAATATTGTGAAGGAAAATTGAAATAAACTTCAAAGAGAAAGTTCAAGTCTTTCATCCAAGGCTTTGATCCATAGCAGATGTAAAGCTTAGCTGACATTGT